GCCAGCACCCCACGTCCTCTGCCCCAGGCACCCCCAAGAGCAACTGGGGTGCTGCCGGGTTGATCTCACAGCACCAAGGGTCAGCACTACCAGACCAACCCAGCAGCACTCCAGCTGCTCTGCCACAGGCTCCCGATTCAGCTGCTGCTGGGCTCTACCAGCAGCGGCTGAATCGGGGACACCTGGGGCAGAGCCGGACTATCGGAAGGGGGAGCTATGAGTGGTCTGGGGTGGCATCCCCCCCCACCCCATCCCAGACCCCTCATAGCCCCCCCTTCCGATAATCTGGCATATTTGATAATCCGGCACCCCCTGGGTCCTAAAGGTGCTGGATTATCAGGCGTTTACTGTAAATAGTCCCACCTGCAGGTCAAAACGTCTAAGGGTTGTCATTATCATAGAAGCCAGCAGTTTAGTGCCCTTTCTTATGCTGTGTCAAATCTGTACTGAGGCCTATTCAGTATTTACAGCTGAATTCTGTTGAGCCAGTTTTCAAAGTTCAATGATAGGGGTTTGCAGACCATATATTGAATTTCTTAAGGGACTCTGCACCTCTAGGCAAAATTATGTCCCTTTTTAAAATGGAGTAAACTGAAATGCAATATGGAACATTTAGTGAAGGCATTGTCCACACAGACAGTTGTCAGCCGACGGTCAGGGCAATGAGTCCCTTAAGACCGGCTGAAGTTCTTTTAAATTGTGCTTGGTTCTGTTACAGCAACTGAAGGAGTCAGGTTAAAGCTTAAACAGTTACTAGTTTATTGTTACAGGGTAAACTTAGTTATTAAATGCTACTACTGTGTTACAGATAACACAGACACTACAAAGGACAGGACAGAAATTACACTAATAAGTCACTTACAGGTACCATGAAACCCTTTGGTTCTCTGAGCTCTTATTAAATGCATGCAAAATAGACACATAGCAGGTATATATTCTCACCCCTGCGTTCCAGACTTGGCGTGGCCAGCGTCTTTCTCTCAATCCCTCAGGAAGAAGTAGGGCGAGGTTGGGCGTCCCACAGCCCTCGGGAGACAATCAATACCTGCCATCAGGTATAGATGATTGGAGCTCAAATGGGGTGGGCAGCGGAACCTCTTTTATACCCCTTGTGTCATGTAGGCTTCTTCCTGATCTCAAATGGCCAATTAGGAAAAATGGCTTTGAACACCAAGTTTCCCACGAAGGGTGCAAAGCATAATTTACACCTGGGAAAATGCAGACAATGGGCACCTCTGGTATGTGATGGGCGAAGATTCCTCTCCTGGGACAGTGCAGGCGTGTCAATTACTGGTACTAGCCATCAGGGCGACGGGAGGCCCCGGGTCGTCAGCTAGCCCATTTACTGTCTGGTTTCTTTCGGGGGGGGGGGGGGGGGAACAAGATGGGGTTTGTGGAAAAACAAGATGGGGTTTGTGTCTGGCTACAACAGTGTTCAGTAATCTAATGCAGTATAGCTGAAAATTTTTCCTTATACATCTTATATTTTCCCTCACTTAATTTCCTCTTACTACTCATCGTTATTTCTATATGTACCATTCTAAATAATGTCTTCCTCCTTGGTATTTGCACATTTCAGATATTTGAACTCTGCATAGTTGTGTATTAGGCAAGCTATACATGTTGACCTCTTTTTAGTAGTAGTATATAAATCAGTTTCACCAGCCTAATGAGCCTTTTTGTAGCTCTTCTTTGAACTCCCTCGAACTTGTTCAAAAATATTTCATGTAGCTGACCAAAATAGAAGTAATATCAGCTAGCTGTACCGTAAGTGTATGTTGTTAATGTTAAATTTTCATTGGCCATTCATAAGTGCTCTAGAGATATGACATCAAAATTACTCATGAGGCTTAGAGGCAAGAAAATGGAGGCGTGAAAGTGGAGAAAAAGTGTATAATATAAACAGGAGTTTTGCCATCTTGCTGTTTTACAGTCTGCATCTCTGATGGCTTTTCCATATCCGCTTCAAAGTCAGGTATAATATAATGTCCACTATCATGAGACTTGGGATCAGGATACTAAAATTCAATTGTATTCCATCTCTTGATGGTTGCAAGATGCTTAATAAGTTATCAATAATGTATTCATTATTAATTTGTGCTATTTATTCACAGTCGTTAGCTTGTAGATCTTTACTGTTTTTTCTATTCATATTTGTTATAATATTTTATCAAAGCTAGAAGTTAAATTTGTGGAATGTTAAATGATAGCATCATTCTTTTCATAACTGAAAACTGGTACTATATGAAGGGTTGTTTTTTTTGTGATCTTCCCGTGCTTCTGTGTGGACCATGATTATTTAAAAAATAGTGATTAGTGTAATTTTTTGAACTTTTAGGATTCATCCAAATCAGCTAATGCATTTATATTTTGAAAATTTCAAGCATTCTTTAATACGTGAAGATTCTTCATTCCTTACCAATTTTTTTTTCTTAATACAGATATAAAAGTGTCCATTAGAAGTCTAGTAATTTTTTAAAATGAGCTAGATGTAATTTCAGGTACTAAAACTGATTTTTAAAAATGTGTAGTCTTATCCTTGTTGACTGTGAAAGATGCACACAAGCAGCAATGAAAGCTAGGGGAAGCTATGGACGTGGACGGTACACAGAATTGGTACATTGTATATTTCAGTATTTCTGTAATGTTTTTGCAGTTACAAATAATACCTAAGATTAGATGCAGCTAGAAGAAACTTTTAATTTGTGATTTTTTTTTAAGTTGCTGGTGTCACTTTAAAAAGAATTCAAAGTTTTCCACCAGAATCATTAGTTAGTATTTTCTCATTTTATAATGAACTCACTTTCTTGTACGTTCCTGTCATATGTATTTCCGTATAGCTGTAATTTGTAAAAGGTCATGTCTTTTACTCTGTGATGCCACAGTGGTCGGAATGACGTACCCAGATTTAAATAGAATGGGTCTGGTGGAAGGCTGATGGTACTGAAATGTTTGAGACCTGATTGCACAGATACTACAGCGTCAAAAAGGATGCCTCTGTAGTTATGTTGTTCCTCATTTTAAGAAACCTTTTATGTAAGAGTTGGAAAGCTAGCACCCACAAGAGTTCAAGAAAATGAAGCAGGATTGTGGCATCTAGTTTTCTAAAAGAACATATAAAGAGCACAGTCTCCTAGGAAGGGGTTTGCTGCGGCATTGAGAACTGCTGTCCATTCCCAGAAGTAATATTTCAAATGTATGTACTTTTGCTTACATTTTTTGTGGTACAAACTCCCTTTTAGAAATCAGATATGGGAACTGAGGGCCTTTGAAGATACTTTGCTTTGTGTTGCTTCTCAAAAATAAATAGGTCTGATTTCGAGAGGAGATTTTTTTTTCTTCTCTACAAAATGTGTTTCATGATGTTTAAGGAAAATTGTATGGAGGTATAGTCCAATATATACTTCAGCCCTGAATTTCATTTAATTTTCCACACTCAAGATCTGGATTTGAGATCACACTGTAAACCCTTTCTTTTCTTTCTCTCTCTCTACGTCTACACTTGCACCCTAATTTGAGCTAGGAATGCAAATGTAGGGACCGAAATTGCTAATGAAGTGGGAATTCAAATATCCTGCGATTTATTAGCATGATCTCGCCGGAGTATTACTCTGCTGAACAGCTGTTTCGAAAGTGAAAGTTCGCGCCGGGACTCATTAGTTCGAACCAAACCAAAAAATGAGGCATAACATTAGTTAGAACCAAGCGGTTTGGTTCAAATTAACGCGTCCCGGTGCACACTTTCACTTTCGAAACAGCTGTTCAGCGGAGTAACACACCGGTGAGATCATGCTAATGAAGCGCATGATATTTAACTGCCCGCTTCATTAGCAATTTCGGTTACCTACATTTGCATCCCTAG